AGCACTTCTCTTATCATCAATAAGAATTTTATCATCGAAATACTATTGTCAACTCCAAAGAATTGATACTGTAGAAATGAATACTGAAGCACACGTTGCACAATTCTTGAAGGATAATGGCTACACGGAAACATTAAGGGTATTTGAACGGGAATATGGAAAGCCATTCTCTAATTCTCCAGATGAACCATTGGAGAGTATAATTGAAGATAGATATAATTACAAGACATTGAATGCTAAAACTGAGGATTCGGAGATCAACGCGTCTCTTAGTAAGGAGTTGAATGAAATTCTTCATAACCAGGTTGATGAATGGTCGGTGCCATATCCAAAGGACCCCGAATTAGTAAGTGATTCAATTGATGGACTTGTCATCTCATCGTGCTTGGTATTCTGCAAAAATACACCAATTCTATTCCTTGGTACCTCAAACACAAAACTCTATGTAATAAATTTACTGTTAAAAGAAACTATTCAAGAATCGAGTGCTTTTATTGGAAAGTGTGTTATCAAAAACATAACTAGCGCATCACACAACAAATTAGTGTTCCTGGGAATGAACGGAAAACTACATTTATGTGAATACAACTACGGAGAATCATTTGAAATAAGAATAATTGACGAAATACAGGCACATCCCAGACTTATCGTCGACACAAAATGCATTCAGTTTAACAACACCACCTACGTGTTTACCCTTGGATGGGATTTCACGTTGAAGGTCTTCACTGCCCAAGACAAACTTAATCTCGTTACCGAATACAAACTACCTACACAAGGGACTTGTATCGATGTCACTATCCTTAACAATAAGATCGCTCTAGTGGTTGGGCTTAACGAAACTACATTGTTGAGTGTGTTCCATCTCACCGAAAATGACTTAGTGCTACTGTATAAAATCTCGCTCAACGATGCACAGTTTACTGTATCGACATTTACTCCTCGTTGCATAACCATACAATCCCTCTCTCTGGGAGTTCCGTTGATTGCTGTGGCTACTTCTCATGAACCATATATGCGGTTAATTATAGTTCCTTTAAAGGATGCACCGGCTATTGATTCCGGCTCGATAGAGCGAGATCAAATCTTGAAAAATTTATCCACCCTCTCTCCGCAAGATAAATATTCGCAACCCATAATTCGTTGGAAGCTGCCTAAAAACCTGAAGCACAACGGTGTCTGGATCGTTGGTGAGGATGGAACAATCAGGGGTATTGACCTCGTCCAAGAAAGAGAAATTACAAGCTATCAACAACATGATGGCAGAATAAAGTCCTTTACCCTGGCCGATGACATACTCATAACCTGTGGGACGGATAAGCATGTATATCAATGGGTATAGCTAGTCTTTCACGTGTAGAACGAACCTCGCGCTTCATCCACCGTTGTTTTATGTGGGGATAGTGGACCTCGGAGAAAAATGAATTATTTGATAAGGTGTTATGAGGGGGTTGTAGAATACCTCGGTAAAAGAGAGCGAAATTTATAAATATCAATAAATGTGCCTGTTTAGATTTAATTGAAATAATACATATTCCATAAACCATCCGGGTAGTGCTAGCTAATATTGATTATATTTATAATAGAATTACTGTATTATAGAAATTGCATTAAATAAAACAACATGTCACTTTCTCCACTCGAAAAAGCAGCTAGTGGTGCATTAGCATCAGCATTCGCTAACAGTTTAGTCTACCCGCTAGATCTCAGTAAGACCTTAATCCAAACTCAAGTGAAGAAGCACGATAAAGGAGGATCTGATAGCGATTTGTCTACGCCAGAGGACAGTCAAACATTAAAGAAAACTAAAAATGGTGATTTGAAGTACAAGAACACTCTCGATGTGTTGCGCAAGATATATGCTAAGAAGGGAATTTTAGGGTGGTACCACGGGCTTGCATCTTCAATATTAGGAACCGCAGCGCAGAATTTCTCATACTTCTACTGGTACACTATCGTCAAACGGGTGTATGCTAACCTCTATAAACATATACCCAATCACAAGCCTACGACGGCCACCGAGTTGTTTTTGGGTGCATTGGCCGCATGCATATCGCAACTCTTCACTATGCCTATCGGGGTTATTACTACACAGCAACAGACCGATAAAACCCACAAAAACTTGTACGAATTGTGCAAGGAAGTCTTAGAGCAAGACGGAATCACAGGGTTGTGGAGAGGATTGAGGGTCTCGATGGTTTTGTGTATCAACCCTTCAATTACCTACGGATCATATGAAAGATTGAAGCAGATCTTGTATAATAACAAGGAGTTCCTTGGACCATTAGAGAGTTTCTCTATTGGCGTTTTGGCCAAGTCCATGGCTACCATAGTGACACAACCGTTGATTGTGTCGAAGGCCATGTTACAAAAGAAGTCGCACAAGAAAGAATCGGTTCCTGGCGACAAGGAAGTATACGGTGACGAAGAAGAAGAAGAAGAAGACATCAAATTCGATGCCTTCACGCATGCGTTGGCCCATTTATGGAAGACTGAAAAGTTCAAGGGGTTATACAAGGGTATTGCTCCACAATTGTTGAAGGGTGTCTTTGTGCAAGGTTTATTGTTCATGTTCAAGGATCAAATTGATTTGTTTTTCTTGTTTTTGTTGAAGCTTATCAAGACCAAAAAAGCCATTTCCCGTTAGTTTGCATGTTAACTTTACGCTATTTATTGAACACCGTTATTATGTAGAGCAAATAATTGTGTACAGAATGTAAATTTCTACCAATTCGCAGCCTGTAGTACTGTATCGCTAGAGATCGGCCTCAAGGTCGCTACTCCCGGTCGCTACTCCCAATCGTTAGCTTGCCTCTATGTATAACAACCCGAAACAGCCCGCCAATCCATATTTCGGTAATCTCGGTAACTTCGGTAACTTCGCTATGATCCACCACCAACAACTACCGAACCCCATCTATTCCCTTAGCCCATTAACCCATATCTTAACCCTACACCTTAATACTGTATACAATGCGCCTCCATACACCAACATCAATTCCCCGGGCTTTCACCCTGGTCATCATCTGATTTGTGACGGTTAAAATCACCTGACGGTTTTTGCGTGCGAAACTCAGAGAAATTTTTTCAGTCGTTGATACTCTCACTCCCATTATGTCCCATAGTATGGATGGGAAGGTAACAATTCTAGTGAAAAATTATATGAAATTGAAATATTCTTACACTTGTTGAATCTTAGTCACTAATAAGAATAATTAATCATGGGTAATAGTAAACCAAGAGGTCTTAACTCTGCTAGAAAATTAAGAGTTCACCGTCGTAACAACAGATGGGCTGATCAAGCTTATAAGTCTAGATTATTAGGTACCGCTTTCAAGTCTTCTCCATTCGGTGGTTCTTCCCACGCCAAGGGTATTGTCTTAGAAAAGATCGGTATTGAATCCAAGCAACCAAACTCTGCTATTAGAAAGTGTGTCAGAGTCCAATTAATCAAGAACGGTAAGAGAGTCACTGCTTTCGTTCCAAATGATGGTTGTTTAAACTTCGTCGATGAAAACGACGAAGTCTTATTAGCCGGTTTCGGTAGAAGAGGTAAGGCTAAGGGTGATATTCCAGGTGTTAGATTCAAGGTTGTTAAAGTTTCTGGTGTCTCTTTATTAGCTTTATGGAAGGAAAAGAAAGAAAAGCCAAGATCATAGATTAACCCACACAGTTATTACGAAACAGGAGGGCTGTTCATAGGTTTCTTGTTTATTTTGAATATAAAATACTGTATAATTGTCCAGTGCTATGGTTTTATAATTTAAATTTATGTGTATATTGATAAATTGCCTGACTCTAGGTTAATGCATACATTTGTGATAAATAAGATGTAGAAATGGCTAGTGTTTGCGATGCCAAGCGTTCGAGTTACTACGTTGCATCTACTGGCTGAAAAAGATGAACGAAAATAGTTATACATTTATGGATGTGGCACTGAACTAAATGGATTGAGTTGTATGTAAATTAAATGGCCAAGTTTCTTCCCTCGATGGAAGGACCTGACTTTTTGGTAGACTTCTTTTTGAAGTTCATCAGAGTCAATTTCTGGTTGATTCTCTTGAATCTTTCATCGTTGTTACCATTAGAGTTTAATTGCTGTCTTCTTAACAAGCTTGGATCGACCTTTGGTGCAATCTTATAGGCAGTGGTTCTAGCTGCTGGAATAGCTGCTCTCTTTCTTCTTTCGGCACTCTCTTCGTATAAAGTCTTAGATTCCTTTGGTCTACTACGACGTGCTGATGATAATTGATTGGTGAACCTGTTCTTATTGTATTCGTTAAATTGGATGGTACGATCTTTATATGAATCCGATTTGTTCAAGATAGGCCTGGTCCAATCCCCAATTAATCTGTCAACCACCTTCTTTAAATTGGCTTCGGTTCTCTTAGATCTTTGATAGTATACTAAAACCTTTCCTATGCCTGATGCAATCAAATGGTCTGTCTTAATAGGTAAAGCAGTTAACGAGTAAATTAATTCCTTTTGAATTTGATAAGCTGGCATTGATGCATCTGGCAAAGGCTCTAACCATAATCTAACCGCTTCCAATAAGTTATTATCCAAGATGGAAATAGCTAAATCAGCTTTGGACAAAATATCCACCACTTCTTTCAACAATTTCAACTTTTCAGTGGCAATTTGTCCCTGTGAATTCTTTTCCACGTCTAAATTGGCGGCTTTAATCATTTGGTCTTTCAAAAAATCAATTCTGTCATCTTGCATTCTTTCCAAATCATCCTCATCAGCCTTACGACGTCTTGACGACTTGCTCTTAATCGCAGACTCCATCTTCTCTTCCAAAAGTCTCCTTTTTCTTGCTTGTGGATCTTCATTACTATAATCGATGCCTCCATCTTCTGGATTTTCTCCCACTGGAACAAATCCTTGTTCATCTCTTTCATTTCTAAGCTCATCGTGTCTTTTGATTTTCCTAACGTTCTTCTTTTTGGTAACTTCTCTATTACTTTCATCGTCTCCTGTTATTTTATGCGCCTTTATGGAATAAATGTTTTCATCGTCGTCGTCTTCGCCTTCGTCATTGTTGTTGTCTCCGTTGTCATTAGCCGGCATCTCATTAAATTCCTCCTGTGCTTGTGGTTCTGCAGAATCACTGAAAAATTGTCTGGCCTCTTCCTCCCTGTCGTTATACAAAGCAGTTTCTCCCTCTTTGTCTGACATATTGCTATATATTATAAGATTAATAAAGCCTTATTAGACACTAGTCTTAGCTCTACTCTTTTCGATACCTTTTGAATGTCGCGACATTTTCCGTCTAGTAGAGATACGACATTTGTCTTTTCTATGAATGTCGCATTCCTACTACCCTAGTTTGCATCCTTTAGTATTTGTTCACCCCAAAACATCTTTGACGGCAAAATGCCCGTATTGTTCATTAGCAAGCTTTCTCTGTACCCTAATATACACTGAATACTTTTCATGATACAATTTTGTAAACCTACTATAATTGTTAAAAATTATTGCAATTTTCTTTGATCGTGAGAGAAATAATGAAAAACTATCAAAAACCTACATTTTATAGAGTATAGCATTTTTTAAAATTAATGAAATCTTATGCATTGTATAATCAATATACACAATCCAATACCATTCTACTCGATTATACGACCCCTGTAGTGGATAATTTGCAACTCTTTGAAATGGAACAAAGGTCGTGCAAAGCCCAAAAAGATTTGGTGGAAAAACCACGAAAGTTGGAATTTGATCATTGGTATAGACATATATTGAAGGATTACATCACTGCTAACTATAATTGAGACGTGATACAAGATGTCTCAGTATATTGGAAAGACTATTTCTTTGATTTCTAACAAGGGACTTCGTTATGTCGGATTATTAGATAACATTAATGCTGATGATGCTACAGTTGCGTTAAAATCGGTTAGATCGTTTGGTACCGAGGGTAGAATGGCTGCTAGTGGTAATGCAAACCTTGAAGTTCATCCAGGGACCGATGTGTATGATTATGTTGTTTTCAGAGGGTCTGATGTTAAGGATTTGACTGTTTTGGATACTCCGATTGATCAAGTGAAACCAGAGCCTTATACACAAGCTCCAGCAGCGGGTGGGTATCCAGCATACCAACAACAACCACAAACTCAAACACAACAACAGCAAAATCAAAGTACACCAGGTCCTACTGCAACTTCTGCAGCACCAGCACAGGCAGCAGCGGTTCCGACTCAAACGGCAGCACCTAAACAAAGAGCCCAAAGACCTTCTGAAAAGCAGACTCAACCACAGGCTCCAACACCATCGCAAACGCAACAAAAGCCACAACCTCAAGCTACTCCAACGTCAGATCGTGCAGAGGAAACAAAGAGGGAAGAAGCTGCATCGCCAGCCCAACCAAGACCGCAAGAACACCCACAATCCGGTTTACAAAAGAACGCCTCTAAAGTAACTAATGTGCCTGAAACGGCTTTTGACTTTGAATCTGCAAACGCAAAGTTCTCGAGGGACTTAGATTCAGAAAAGGAAGCGGAACAGCCAATGTACAATAAACAATCGTCATTCTTTGACAACATTTCATCATCTGCTGATGAAAAGAATACTATGAGGTGGGCCGAAGAGAAGAGTCTTAATTTGGATACTTTTGGTGAATCCTCAGTCAACCATAGAGGTAGAGGAAGAGGTAGAGGAAGAGGCAACTGGAGAGGAGGTAGAGGCAACTGGAGAGGAGGCAGAGGTAGAGGTAGAGGTGGTAATAGAAGCAATAATGATTATAACAACAAACCTGAATGGGCCTGAGTTATTTGAAGGCCAACTTTTTATATTATTCAAAAAATGATCTAATTTATTATTACACTTAAACTAATATGTAGCTATATTCTGATAACTTCTCCAATAAGCAATTTCTTTTCAGTTTCATTATCTTCATCCACAATACTGACTAATTTATCGTTGTATTCAGTGATAGAACTAAGGGGACTGTAGATTTGATTTATCAAAACCCTTCTAATATATCTGGCTGCTAAAAAGAAAGGATTTTTCGTTTTGAATTGTTCCTCAGAATATGTATGTGATCTGATTGCATTGTTTTCAAATATGTGTAATATTGGAATGTCATCTACCTTGTTTATACCTGGGATGGTTTCATCACTCTTAATTAAGGCCTGGACATCTGGAATCGCAGATAGTATTGTATTATTTAGATCAGAATTGATTAAAATTTCCTCCATGAAACCAAACCTTATAATACATCGATAATGACCAGGAATTTTCATCGATCCAATTAAAACTCTTTCACTGTTTGGTACATCCGGGATTGGCAAAATCCTAATTGAACAGAAAATAAAAACAGATGGAATCGATGCAAAGGATGAAACCAATTTGCGATATATCTGAGGCACCGTATTTGGCGATTGAAGTATATGAATAGATGATTCACAATACATTATCCCAACACCTTTGTGTCTTTGCAATGTAGTAGAGCCAAATTTAGATCTGACATCCAATTTATTATGGTTCGAGTTGAGTACTTTTGGAAGCTCTATGCCATATTCAAGTACTTCTCCACCTAGATCCATCCAACTTTCATCCTCGGGTTTATGAGATAAGTCAACTGTTTTGTTTTCTGGGACCTTTCTAAATGAAGGATATAAGTCACTGATTCTTGTTCTTGTATTGAAGTTTTGTTCTACCGCTTTTGACCTTGCCCATCTCCAAAACGAAAAGAATATCATGAAAAGACTCGCCATCATAATTGGAAACCATGCCCCATGCATTATTTTCTTTAGATTTGAAATGACCAACACAGCTTCTAACGGCACGAATATCAACACAAAACATACAGGAATGATGATATTCCAATTGTATACGTAGACCATACAAATTGAAACCAAGGTACTTGTTACAATCAAATCAAACGCAATACCTAACCCATAAGCAGACGTAACGTTATTACTGGTTTTAAAACCTGCTGTAGTACAACAAACTCCTATCATTAATATCCAGTTAATGGTTGGAATATAGACTTTACCACGACAATGCTTGGACACATGCAATATTCTAAACGTTGGAAAACAGTCCAATTTAATCAACTGAGAAAGTATACTGAAAACACCTAGAATTAGCGCTTGACTAGCAATTATAGTGCTTAATGTTGCTAGAACAAATACTACCCAAAATATACCACTATTGCTGCCACCTGGAATGGATAAAAAGAAGGGATTCCTTACATCTTCTGGGTGTTCAATTAGATAAGCACCTTGCCCAAGATAAGATATAATCAAAATTGGATAAACAAAAAATGTCAAGGCTAGCTGAATTGGAAGTCTTCCAAAGTGTCCAATATCAGCAAACATCGCTTCAGTTCCAGTTATGGACAACATAGCACCTCCAATAGCATCAATGCCAACCTTTTGCAACAAAGAGATTGCATAGTAAGGAGATAATGCTCGGAATATTTGGGGATGATAGCGGACAATGTTGAATATCCCGCATATAAACAAGCTGATCAACCAAAGAAAAATAATGGGTGCAAAAAGAAATGATATCTTGTGGGAACCAAATTGTTGTATAACAAATAGAAATACTAAAACAACTTCAGAAACAACAAGAACATTATCAAAGGAAGGTTTTGCTATTTGAATTCCCGCAATTGCACTAAGAACAGATGTTGTAGGTGTTAACAATCCATCAGATATGACTAATGAACAACCTAAAAAACAGCAGAATAGGATGAACTTGGCAATCAATTTGAGTAATTTTGGATTATTTTTGAAATTAGACGAAGATCCAAACCGATCTTTTGAATTCAAATGAAGCTTCTAGATGTCTCTTGTCTCGACAATAGTTCTAAATCAGACGTTTCTGTAGTTCCTGGTATAGTAACTCCCTTCGGACCTATCTTTAAAGCTCTGGCAATCTTTGCATAAATAGCAACTTGGCCACCTTCACCATTGTTAGGACCGATGAACAATACTATCATAACATACTTCAAGATAACAATAAACGTGAAAACGTAAAAAATTAATGATATAGCTCCATAAATATCACTTTGACTTGGAGGAGAATTTGCATATTCAATTGAATTCAAAACATACAAGGGAGATGTACCAAGGTCTCCGTAGATCCCACCTAATGAAGTGAAACTTAAGAAGAGAACGTTTCTCCATGATTTCTGTTTAATATTTGAGTCATTCGATTCAACTGTTTGAGATTCCTCGTCAGCTAAGTCATTATCTTCTTCTCTTGTGCCAGATGGACTAGAATTGATGGATACAGAGTCTATTTCAACCGAACCACGCTGACTCTCTGGATTTCTTTGATTACTCATTTCTGTTGCACAATTAGGTAGCACTTGAAATACTTTAAAAAAATAAGACTAACTACAGTATTTATACACTGTTTATTCATATTACACATATATGTCACCTCCTACAAAGCCTTCAAACATTAACGCCAATGATAAATCCCTCAATACAGAATTAGTACTTGATAGGGGCAAACTCCATAATAATACCGTAATTCGCCTAGTATCCAATAAAATTGAAGCCACTAGTATTAAGTATCCATCAGGGAATATAAGGCAATAATCAAATATGCTGATTTTGTATTTTAACTACTAATCTCTAATTATTTACGGTGGTGGCCCAGCAAATAGTTACCATATTGACATGCGATAACTTGCAGCTGGCAACGAAAATTTTGATTTGTTCATATCTCATTGGCTATTTTATCAGTATAAAGTCCTGCTCATTCAAAGATTACAATAGACATGACACAGCCCTTCGTATTGAATGGCCAGGGAGGGAAATTTCCAAATTCAAACAATTAGTCTCAAATTCCCTCATGTTAGAGTTGGGCTGCGAATTGAATTGCAGCAAAATTTTCGCAGTTCAAAAAATCGCTCAAAAATATAGAGATAAACAACCTGCCATCATTTTTTTGTCCTCTGATTAAGAAACTGTAAACAGTGCCATATGGTAATTCAAGATACGCAAGAGTGATATGCAACCACGTTGCTTTGTATCTAAAAAGGAATGAATGCCCTGTATGTATATTTAATGAGAGTATTCGAAAATTAATTCTCTTGCCTGTATTATATTAAATTTGTTCTATATTTTTCTATTCTAATTTATAAAATTCATTGTAATAATCTGAAAGATTCACCGTTATCTCTTAAAGTATTGGCATGCTTAATGATTTTGGCTATTCTATCCGATTTCATTGACCCTGATTTACTTCTGTCGTCATATTTTTCCTTATTCCAAGTAGGTGCATGTAGACCGTAATCGGAAAGATTGTTCAGGTCAATCCATTCTTGTAATGATTTACAATAGTCTGCATCAGCAGGAAATTTTAAATTATGGAATTCCTTACCTTTCGTTTCAAATTCTTTTAAATATTCAGATGTCATAGTTTCTGTATCTGGTAATTTCATCTTGCCACTGAAGACTCTGGACAAAACAGCAGCTTGTGATTCAGCTAATGGCATAGGAACAATTAATTTTGGTAAAACTAAAAAGGCTAAAGATGGATCTGGGATATAAAACATTTGCTTATATAGATTATGAACCACAGTTCCTTCAGGGTCTAAAATAGACTCGTCATCCATATAACTCTTTAGGAACGGAAAGTCATATCTGTAACCAGTACAAAAGATGACTGTATCAATATCACTTATAGTATCACCTTCAGCAGTGGTTACAGACTTGTTATTGTCAAAATCATATTTTGTTATAAGTCCTATGACAGATGCACGTAGATTTTTAAACTCAGGCCCGAGAGAATTGCCCCTATTAGAAACATATACCTTATTGCACCTGACACTTAATTGTATTGCAATATCAGAACCACTTGATGAACTTCCAACAACAAGAACATTCTTGTTTGCAAACTCATTGGGATCATTATAATACTTTGCATGAGTTATTGACAGAGGCAGTTTAATATGCCACGAGTTTAGACCTTCAACTTTTGGAATGAATGGAGTCTCGAAGTGACCATTAGCAAGAACAATAGCATCGTATTGCTTTATTGATGTCTTCTTTACTTTCAAATCTTCCACCTGTACTTCCCACACCTTGCTCCTTTTAGTCAATGAAAGCACATTAGAATTTAAGTGTATTTTTGTATCTTTTGGAATTGTATGAGAATATTCCTGTAAATATTGAAAAACTTCTTGTCTAGTAGGATATGCAAAGACGTCAGAGGGAAAAGAACTGTTGGCATATTGCATAAGCTTTCCTGTTATGTTTGTTTCCAAATGCTTATACATTGGTGAGAAAAATTCATTCCTACCAACCGATGGATTATTAATGTCTATTGCATCTTGCAATCCATTTGTCTTTTTTTCATTATACAACCATACTCCTCCCAATTTGTCATTTCGTTCGAACAAATCAACTTCAAAATTAGTAGGCAGTAATCCAAAAGATTTAGCAGCCGCAAGCCCCGCAGGACCACCACCAATAATTGCTATCCTAGTGTATTTAACCAGCATCATCCTTGTCAATAGTGCAATTGCCAAAAGAAATAGTTCATGTAATATTAAAAACTTGATAACAAATCTCGCGACTAGTTTTTATCCGAGCTAGCTGCTTATCAATTAACAGTAATTAAACATTCAGAAATATAATCTTTAGATCAACTAGCAATATATATTCTTCAAACACTGTATTAATCATTATACTGTTGTTTCGCTCTCATTTACAAGGTTAAGAAGTATGTTAGACACCTCTATTACTTCTACAAAAGCCAATTGTTTTACACTTTATAATACCTTTACCAAACCTGATTTGCTGTCGACTTTATTCTCTACTCTTAGGGTTCCTAATCTCATATTTGCTATAGTTGCTGATATCAATGAGAAGAAGATGAGAAGATGAAAGATGTTAGCTGATATGGATCCTTTCACGAAATCAACGTATCCTAGAATCTAGACAGTATATTAGAAGCAATGTATCTTAGTATCAATGACTACATTTCTAAATGAGAATCAAACTTCCAGGTAAAAATGTTGGCTACAGTTGAAACATAAACTTCATGAACAGTGCAATTTGCACCCAATTGTGCAATTTCCTTTTGCTATTATTTTCATTAGCCCCAAAACTATTACCTTACCATAAAACGGAATGCACAGTTCGCTGTTGACTTTACGGTATACTCCTGACTTTAATTAGTATACTAAAATCTTCTTATTGTCTCCGGCTAGAGTCTTTTTGCATGCAAATATACACTCGCGGTTTTTTTTAAATACGCGTCACTTAGGTTTTAAAAGAATCAGACTAGTAAATATTAAAACAGACTCATATTGTCTATGGATAATGATTGAAGATAAAATAACAGCATTTCCTAATGGAAATTCATTTGTTAGATATCACCCAGCTATCGAAAAGTTAGTTATTGGAAATAGTGAAGGTTTAATAAAAATTTTCAACATTAATGAACCAGATTTAGAACCAGTATCAATTGATATAAATGAAAATTTGACGTCTTTATCGTTCCATTCAAATACATTATTAGTAACAAATACAGCAGGTAACCTTGAACTTATTAACTTGAAGGAAAATGAATCAAAAGGTACGATTTACAGATCAGAATTGCCATTAAGAGATTCAGTGTTTATTAATGAAGGTAAAAGACTTTTATGCGGAGGAGATGATAACAAATTGGTCTTAATAGATATGCTGAATGAAAAGTCGGTGTCAACGTTACCTATACCTGATCAGTTGTTAAATATGTCGTATAATGTTACTGGAGAAATATTGTCATTAAGTTTATCGAATGGAAATATTCAAATCTACTCAGTTATAAACGAAGTTCCAAATTTGATCGAGACAATATCTAACATACTCCCAGTTAAGATTAACAGCTCATTGGATACTATTGATTACATTGGAGAGAATAATGATGAATTAATAGCTACTAAAACTCAATGGTCATCAAACGGCGAGTCGTTGTTGATACCAACAGCCTTCAATTCGATTAAAGTGTACGATAGATCTAACTGGACTGATGTTGTTAAAGAGTTTAAGTTAAAAGACTCGGATGTTCGTATGGTTGATTTCGAACTTAGCCCTAATAATAAACACCTAGCCGTTAGTTACAAGGATTTGACATTAAAAGTGTTTGATTTCAGCTCGAAGAAGTTACTCAAGGATGTCAAACTCGAACTTCAAGATGGACATTACCCTACGAACTTGATTTGGAGTGAAATTCCTAAATCTTCTGATTATAATTTGTGTATTGGTACTACCAATGGGTGCATTGTTACGTACCGTGATTTGGTAAGTGAAGATTCTGAACCTATTTCTAGAAACTTGTTTTTAGACGAAGCGGAAGAATCAGATGCTAATAACACAGACGACTTGTTCAACGACTCTGATGACGAAGCACAAGCACAATCCAAGCCAAATGGTATATTACATGAAGAAGACTCTTTGGTGATTGATCAAGATGATGAAGATGAAGATGATAATGAGATGCCTGATTACTATAACAAAGACGTAGATTCATATTTAGATGAAAGACGTTCTAATAAGCGGTTCAAATTGAATGGGAGTAAATTTAAATCTCCTTCACCATATATATCTGATCGTATTTCAGAGACCAAGGAATTCGAATTGCAGCCGTATTCGCCTGGATCCACACCTTGGAGTCAGAGTCAAAATAAATCATTATCAGACACAGATAGGAGATACTTATCAATGAATTCTATTGGTTATATTTGGTCCGTTAAAACTGCATCAAACCCCGAGAACTTAAACCAACAAAGTATAACCATTTCATTTTTCGATAGATCTATAAACAAAGACTATCACTTCATAGATTACTATCAATATGATTTATGTTCCATGAATGAAAAAGGTGTTTTGTTAGCATGTTCTGGGTATAAAGATAAAACTGGAAAGCAAGGTGGGAAGGTGTTTTATAGATTCCATGATACTGTTCAGGATTCATGGGAAAGAAAAATACCTTTATTGAAAGATGAATACATTACCTCAGTTAGTATAACCAATAATTCAAGATTTGAAACTGATTATAGTGACGCGTTAATTATAATTGGTACCAACTTTGGCTATGTTAGATTTTTCAATTTGCATGGGCTTTGCATTAATTTGATAAAAACACCCCCAGTGGCTACATTAGTGGCTTCATCAAGCTCAATTATATTTATGATCAACCAAATTTCACCTAATGTATACGCATATTCCATAATTGATGTTAACCAGGATTACAAATTTATCCAGCAAGATGTTTTGTTACCTCTTAAAAAGTGTACTAAGCATCCACAATTACCACTTATAAAAGGTATTTTCTTTAACGAATACAATGATCCTTGTTTGGTTCCAGGTATCGACGATACATTACTAATTTTATCGACATGGCGTGAAACTAACAATGCTAAATGGATTCCTATTCTTAACTGTAAAGAGGTTATTACCGAGAATGGAACCAGTGAATCTAAGAAGAATTGGAAGTGTTGGCCGTTGGGATTATATAAAGATCAATTAAATTGTTTGATATTGAAAACAGAAAATCAATACCCAGGATTTCCATTGCCTTTACCAATCGAGTTAGAGATCAAACTACCAGTAATGTGTGCTAAGTCCAAGGAGATTGAATCAAATGGTGGATCTGATTCAGCATCCAATAATGAAGAAGATGCCGAAGAATCGTTCTTGCGTGCATCTACTATGGGCAGAATTGTTAATGATTCATTGAACGATGGAGAGAATGAAGAATTCAATGATGAAATCTTAGAGAGATTGCAAAACTACAGTATGATATTTGATAAGTCATTATTGAAATTATTTGCTTCTGCATGTCAAGAGTCGAGACTAAACAGGGCATTAAGTATTGCAAAATTAATCAAGAACGACAAAGCCTTAATGGCCGCGTCCAAAATTTCCGAAAGGTTAGAGTTTTTGAATCTAGCAGGCAAGATCAGCAAATTGAGAGAGGATTTAGTCAATTTGAGCGAAGGTGAAGACGACGATGAAAATTGACTTAACCTGATTTCTTCTACAATAGTCAGATTTTAATATAGTATAATATAGTATAATATAATAATTTCTTATACAGTTGATATATGTACAAAACGAAGCAAATTGGATCTAAATGCTAGCATCAA